TCATGTTTTTCAGCCTTTACAAACTCTAAAAATCAGTATATAAAGACAAGAAAAATAGAGAAGAAAAGTAGAAGAAGATGAAAGAAGAAAGTGCAAAATTATACCTTTGAAAAAGAGGTAAGCTCTTAGTTAACAAACTTGATTCCAACACCCTCAAGTTTATGAAACTTAGTTTGAAATCTCAACAAAGCTTCAAGAACAAGCTCTAATGGCGTATGTATTGTGTATGTATAGCTAAAAAGTGATATGAAGTTTGAAAGGGAGATGGATGTTCCTAGCTCTCAAAAACCTTCAAAGCTTTTGAAAATATTTCCTAACCCTCTAGGTTATGAAAATATGTTGTAAATTCTCTACAAGAAAGCTTCAAATCCAAGCTTTAATGGTGTGAAGAGGGTGAAAGTTGATTTGGAGAAGAAAAGAGGCTTGAAGGTTCAAGGAGGTTCAAGGATAGCTCATCAATGTCTAAGCCTCTTGGAAGGTTTTTTCTAACCTTAAATCTGAAGGAAGAGGTTCTATTTATAGAATTTGAGCCAAAATGGTCAAAAATATCTTCAAACAAAGATATTTGTTCAATTTCCGCCAGTTGTCTGTCTGGCACCATCGAGACCCGGCCGAGCCTCAAAACACACGGTCGGGCCTCAATAATGCATGGTCGGGCCTCAACAAACAAAGAAAGGTAAAAAAAAAAAAAAACACTCTGGAGAAATTTTCATCGAGGCCCAGCCAGGCCTCAATAAGGCACGGCCGGTTCTCAATGGACCCGGCCGGGTCTCAATGACTGCACTTCAGGCCCAACTTCGAACGGGCATATCTCCCTCATCCAAACTCGATTTTAGGTGATTCTTAAGTCTAAATTAAAGCCCCAGAAGTCAAATTTCCAATGGTGGCAACCCCACATCTAAATTATAAGTGGTCAGAGACATATACCTATTTTAGTAAAGGCTGCTCATTTCTATCTTAACCAGATTGATGCCTAACTTCTCCGAACTAGTTTTCTTCCCTCCCCTCCTATTTTCTTCAACTCCAAACCTATAAATAAGATGTTTTGAAAGATTTTTCAAAGAGTTCACCTTCCTTCCATGTATCTCCACTTTGTCCTTACTCGGTTTACCGAAAAGTGCAATGTTTTAAACGAAATGCGAGCCTCGGACATCGTGGAAGCATTTGGAAAAAAAAAAGATTGAAAAGAGGGTTTTAAGGTCTAAAATAGTTTGACCAAAATAGGGTGCAAGGTTTGGGATAAGAACTTGAATCTGAGTATAGTGTAACTTTCATCATCAGGTGTTCGGAATAAAACGCCCAAGTCTTAAGGGCAGTCAAAAATGGAGTATCTACACTTGGACTCCTTTTCTAGAGATCTTTTACGAGAAATACTTTCCGCAATGTGTACAGGACAAAAAGGTGTCTGAATTCATGGAACTCAAGTAGGGAAACAAATCAATTGCCGAGTATGATGCTCAGTTTACAGAATTAGCCTGTTTTGCACCCCACATGATAGATACAAACTACAAGAAAGCTAGACAATTTGAGGGAGGTTTGCGTGACCCAATCCTAGACAAGATCAATGTACTCAAATTAAAGACATATGTGGATGTGCTTGATAGGGCACTAATAGCATAGAGAAATGTGGCTAATCATAAACAGAATTTCAAATGAAAGGGTAGAAGACAGAATTTTAATAAGGGGACAACATCAACAAACAAGAAGTTTAAGTATGGGAGTTCTAGTAATTCGGGATCAACCCAAAGTGGAAACTTAATACCTACTTGCACTGTTTGTGGAAAGAAGCACCGGGGTGTGTGCTATCGCACTATGGGGGCCTGTTATCAATGTGGAAAAGTAGGACATCTGGCAAAAGATTGTACACAATCACGTCAGGGTGGCAACCAAGGCGCCATAAGTTTAATTGGACCAATTCCTACAATGAAACCAGCTATAACACCATCTACCACAAGAAATTAACAAAGGCAAGGAAGGGTCTTTGCATTAATTCTGGGGGACACTCAAAATACAGAGGCAGTGGTGTCGGGTACAATCTCCATTTGTGGTAAACTTGATTATGTCTTAATTAATTCAGTGTCTGCACATTTGTTTGTCTCTATAATTTTTGCTGAAACTTTGGATAGACCTATGGAAACATTGAGATATATATTATGTGTTTCATCACCTATTGAGGGATCCATGTTATGCTCATTTGTATATGCTGCATATGAATTATTTCTCAAGAATGCTATTTTGTATGCTGATTTAATACCTTTAGACATGAGACATTTTGATGTTGTTTTGGGTATGGCTTGGATAGCTAAATACCATGCAACTATTGATTGTGCTTTAAAACAAGTGATGTTTTGACTTCCCAGACAGGATGAATTTTATTTCGAGGGAAAAGGGGTAGTTCCACTACCATACCTTATATCTGCAATAAAAGCCCGAAAACTAATGAGTAAGGGTTGTCAAGGGTATTTGTGTAGTGTAATAACTGAATCAACCATGGACATTGCTCTAGACAATATACCAATGGTGAGGGATTTTCTTGATATGCTTCTGGATGAATTACTTGGACAACTTATTGATAGAGAAATTGAGTTTACAATTGATGTAATGCAGGGTACACAACCAATTTCTAAAGCTCCCTACCGTATGTCCACTATTGAAATGAAAGAATTGAAAGCTCAGTTGCAGGAATTGCTTAATAAGGGATTTATTCGTCCTGTGCCGGTTCTTTTTGTAAGGAAGAAAGATGGGACCCTCAGACTATGTATTGACTACCGAGAACTCAATAAGGTTACAGTGAAGAATAAATATCCATTGCCATGTATTGATGATTTATTTGACTAGTTGCAGGGGGCCCAAGTGTTTTCAAAAATTGACTTGAAATCAGGATACCATTAGCTGAAAGTAAGAACTAAAAATATTGAAAAGACTGCTTTCTAAACCAGGTATGGACATTATGAGTTTTTAGTCATGCCTTTCAGAGTCATTAATGCACCTGCAACATTTATGGATTTGATGAATAGAGTCTTCAAACCTTTCTTGGATGATTTTGTTGTTGTTTTCATCGATGATATTTTGATTCATTTGAAAAGTAAAGATGAGCATGAACAACATTTAAGAATGACTCTTCAAACACTTAGAGAAAAACAACTGTATGGAAAATTGAAGAAATGTGAGTTCTGGCTTGATAAAATAACATTTTTAGGGCATGATATTAACAGAAATGGTATCTCAGTTGATCCTCAGAAAATAGAAGTAATTATTGATTGGCCTACTCCGATTAATGTAACAGAAGTTCATAGTTTTATGGGACTAGCTAGTTATTATTGAAGGCTTGTTAAAGATTTCTCAAAGATTACAGTGCCATTGACCCAATTGACTTGGAAGGGAGAACCGTTTGAATGGACAGACCAAAGAGAATCTGCATTTCAGGAACTAAAAACAAGATTGACCACAGCTCCAATCCTTACTTTACCCTCAGGTATGGAAGGATTTGTAATTTATAGTGATGCATCTTATAAGGGTTTAGGTTGTGTTTTAATGTAGAATGGTAGGGTGATTGCTTATGCCTCCCAACAATTGAGGCCACATGGGAAAAACTATCCAACACACGACTGAGAACTTGCCGTAGTTGTGTTTGTATTGAAGATATGGCGTCATTACTTGTATGGAACCAAATGTGAAGTGTACACTAATCATAAAAGTTTGAAGTACTTTTTTACACAGAAGGAACTAAACACGCATCAGAGGCGATGGCTTGAATTAATCAAAGATTATGATTTGCAGATCCACTACCATCCGGGCAAAGCCAATACCGTGGTAGATGCACTTAGTAGAAAGAATGTGGGGAATCTTGCTTATTTACTCACAAATCAGAAAGAGTTACTACTAGAGTTTGAAAAACTTGAAATTGAAGTGGTGCCTTTTGAACAAGATAGCTTGATAGCTACAATGTCTGCACAGCCTGCCATTATTAAGGAAATCAAACAAAAACAAATGAATTATGAGTTTTTAAAGAAGATTTGTGATGAATTTGACACCAAGCCTAAATCGGGGTTCACAATTGAAGATTTCGTGTTGAAATTTCAAGGGAGATTATGTATTCCTAATGATGCAGATTTGAAAAGGAAAGTTTTGGAAGAAGCTCATAAGTTAGTGTTCGCTATGCATCCAGGAAATACCAAAATGTACCAAGATTTGAAGTTAATGTATTGGTGGCCCAACATAAAAAGAGAGATTGTCAACTTCAATTCTAAATGCTTACAATGTCAACAAATGAAAGCGGAGCATCAGAAACCGGTAGGCTTGCTTCAGTCCCTCCCTATATCGGAATGAAAGTGGGAACATATAACCATGGACTTTGTTGTTGGCCTACCTCGAACACCTAGAGGTATGGACTCTATTTGGGTTATAGTTGATAAACTGACTAAGTCTGCTCATTTTCTTACTGTAAAGACTTCTTTTAATGCATATAGACTTGCCACCATCTACATTGATGAGATTATTTGATTACATGGGGTCCAGTGCCTATTAGATCATATAGGGATCCTAAATTTGTTTCTAGATTTTGGCATAGTCTACAGGATGCAATGGGGACAGAATTGAGGTTTAGTATAGCATTTCATCCACAAACTGATGGGAAAACCGAGAGGACTATTCAAACCTTAGAAGACATGCTTCGTATATATGTTTTGGATTTTCAGGATAGTTGGGAAACATATTTGCCATTGGCTAAGTTTGCTTATAACAATAGTTTCCACACTAGCATCGATATGGCACCATATGAGGCACTATATGGAAAAAAGTGTAGATCACCAATTTGTTGGACATAGGTTGGTGATAGGGCTATCTATGGAACAGAACTCGTGCAAGAGACAACTGAGAAAATAAAAATTATTCAACAAAGGCTCAAAACTGCACAAAACAGACAAAAAAGTTATACAGATCAACGAATAAAGGATTCAGAGTATGAAGCGGAGGATCATATATTTATCAAAGTAACACCGATGAAAGGGCAGGCAAGGTTTGGCAGAAAAGGAAAATTGACTCCTCGCTATATCAGGCCATTTCTAATCCTTGAGAGATTGGGTCCTCTTGCCTACCATATTGCTTTGCCGCTAGGAATGGAACTAGTGCATAATGTATTCCATGTATCCATGCTTTATGGGTATCTTAGAGATCCATTCCATGTGATTGATCATCATCGGATTGCTTTAGATGAGAATATGATTTATGGAGAATGGCCTGTGCAAATCAATGATCGGCAAATGAAGCAATTAAGGAACAAAACTATTCCTATGGTGAAAGTCGAATGGAAAGAACATTATGGAAAAGAGGCCACTTGGGAAAAAGAGGATGAGATGTGGCAACGATATCTGCATTTGTTTTCGTTTGAAGGTAACTTAAGTTTGGAGGACCAAACTTTCTAAGGGAGAGAGACTGTGACAACCCCGACCGCCTTAATATTATATTACATTATTTTGATATGTATGATTGCATAATTGTTGTGTTAATGGGTGTATATAAATATTTAATTTTGTGATTATCTGTTGATACATGGAATATTTGTTCACTTAGTGACTTAGAATTAGAAATTAAAAGCCCGAACGACTTCAGAAACCAAAATTGATTAGTCCAATAGGCTAATTAGAATATTTAGAATTTTATGGTAACTTTCGTCAAAATTTGATTTGGACCAAAATAATTAGAATAAAATAATTAGAATCAATCAAAATTGAGTATGATTAGTTATTCATAAGCAAGCTTAATTAGCCTAAGCTAATCACACCCTATATAAGCCAAATTCATGTCTTGAAATCACATTATACAACATTGAGCTGAGAGTTTGAAAGAGAATGAGAGAGAACTCAACAATTCTAGTGAGAGGAAGAAGAAATTGAAGGGAATTGCTAGAGACTTGAAGAATTGAACTAAGACAATACTTGAATTCAATATTAGGTATGAAATTCATCCTAAATTCTTGGAATTAAGTCATGTAGAAACTAAGTTCGTGGAGTTATTGGATCATTTGCATGAATTTGAGTGGGTTAAGCATGAATTACCATGAAAATGATGAATTTGAAATGAATCGCATACATGCATGCATGATCCTTCATCTATGAGTTAAACTTTATATATGCATGAAGCTTAGGAGACATGAACTTGAAGATTATCCATGGTTTCACACATTTCATATCATGTTGCGGTGTTTTGAAAAGAAGAGAGATCAATCCATAACATGCATGGTTTTAACTTGATAGTGTAAGCTTGAATTTGGACAATTGCAGCATGATTTTGAATAAATGGTTTCAAATTAAGCGAAGAAATTGTCGCTTGAGCGTAAAAATCAAGCTCTCAGAAGTTTTACAGAGAATTACAAGGTAGCTCGAACGGCAGACTCTGCGCTTAAGCGTACCCTATTTTGCATTGCTCATCGCTCGAGCGACAGATATCTCGCTCGACCGTAAAAATCATGCAACCAGTACTTTTACAGAGTTTTGCAGACCGCTCGAGCAACTAAAGTTGCGCTCAAGCAGAGGCCCTGTTTTCAGCAAATTTTGACTAACTCTTTTAAGTGCATACTTGCATCCTCATGTCATTTCTAGTACTCTTAAGCACTAATTGGACTCACATAAACATAGAATGAGTTAGAAACACATAAAAAGAGTTGAGTTAAAGCGAAATAAAAGTCGAATGGTGCTTCAATTGCATTTTTGTTATGTGTTTTGTATAGGTGGACATCCGAGGCCTAGTGATAACTTAACCCACTGTGAGTAATAACTTTATAAAGATATGTTCAAGTTATATTTATTTTCGAAAATGTTGTTATCGAAATCGATATATGATTGATTAAATGGTTTATTGAATTATTACTAGTTATTAATTAATGAAGTTCATTTTTGAAAGTATATTCATGGCAACCTTTAGCGAGGCCCTTGCTTGGGGGAAACAATACTAAGGCTCATTGGCCCTTATCTGGGGGAAATAATACCATGGCCCATTGGCCCTTGCTTGGGGAAAACAATGCCAAGGCCCATTGTTTAATAGGCCTTGCCTGGGGGAAATTAATACCACGGCTCATGTAATAACCCTGTCCTATACTATGTTAATTAATCATGATTATGTTTGTAATTATGTGCTTAATTTGAATTTGGGTGTAAATTGCATGATTATATATGATTTTGGTTTTGTATCTATTCACCGTAGGAAAATCTATTAGAATCTGTGCTTTGAACTAAAAATTGAAGGCCTTATCGGCCACAGAAACCGAAATTGACTACGCCATTGTGATTAGCGTAAATTTTAGAGCCTACGGTAAAATTTAATTGAAAACTAATTCGGAACGAATTAATTAGTTTAAATCGAATTAATTAAGCACCATTGATTAGTTCTAATTAAGTGTGATTAAGGAAAGCTTATATAAATGAGCCATACATGCTTAAGCTCTTATTTTTTAGCCCAAATCAGATCCTACACTCTAAAGAGAGAGGGTGAACCGAATTTAGAGATAGAAAGGAGCCATTCTTGAAGATATTGCAAGAGAATTCAAGAAACTAAGAGGATTAGCTCAAGATTTGGCTATCATTGGAAGAATTGAAACTCCTAGATGATCCGCTCGAGGCGGGAGCCATGTAATTTGACTCTCAGCTCGAGCGACCGAAGTCACGCTCGAGCGTAAAAATAAAGTAGCCAGTACTTTTGCAGACCAAAGGGGTCCGCTCGAGCGGCGAAAGCTGCACTCTGTAGACACCCCATTTTTTGACCGACCTTAAGACTCAGACGTCACTGATTGAGCGCTTGGTGATATTACATAATGTGCTCGTTCAGAAGTTTCAGAGTCGCGGCCGTGAGCCCTGCCTCCAGACTTCCGAACCCTCTTTTGTGCTTTGCCTCGGTTTGCAAACCAGGCTCGATTTTCACTGTTTCTTTTCCTGAGGGGAAGGAGAGGTCCCGTAGACCATCTCTCAGTGGCCGTGGGCTACATTTTGTGGCCGCAGGCCATTTTGGCCATTTCGGAGTCCGGTTTCCGATTTTTCGGGACCGTTGGCCGTGTGCCTCAGTTCGGGACCGCCTAACCATCTCCGTTTGTTCTATTTTTTTGGCATACTTCCTTTCTACTCCCTTTTGAGGGACACTGGGGTCTGAGAAACCCACTTCGTGGCCGAATGCCACGTTCGGTGCTTACTAGGCAATTTTTGGGGCCTCGAACTGCGCGTTTTGGCCCCCGAGCATTCGTTTTGCATCGGTTTTTGTTCATTTTTGGCAGGTACCTCTGTTTTATCACCAGGAAGACCGTAGAAGGGTGGGAGGCCAGCAATTGTCTCAACAACCAGTTTTTACTTCTCCGGCGCCCTCCGACGCCCGTTTTTCTCACTTCCGAGCTGATGTTGAACAACCTGGAGCCACTTTCTTGAACTTTGACCCACATACTTGTGATGTACACACATGGGAGGACCCTAAAATTTGGTGGCCGGCCACTAATTCCATTTGACCCTTTTGAACCCCTCCTTCTGAGCCAATGTTGAATAACCTGGAGCCACTTTCTTGAACTTTGAACCACATATTTGTGTTGTACACACATGGGAGGATCCTAAAAGTTGGTGGCCGGCCACTAATTCCATTTGACCCTTTTGAACCCCTCCTAAAAATGGCTTGTTCTCTCTCCTGTTTTAGAGTTTCCAAATTCGAACCACAGGGTTGTGAAGAGGAGACCTGGGAGGCCACCTTTTTGTGGTGGCCGGCCACTAAATCCATTTGACCTTTTTGACCCCTAGCCGGCCGGCTAGGGGGGGCGGCCGGCCGGCCACCTGGAGCTCCAACAAGTGGCCGGCCATGTTCCTTGCAACACACACTTTACAGCTGTATAGCTGTATCCCCCAGAAAATATCTCAATCCGGGGGATATTTTTTGGGGGAAAACTTGCCTCATTTTCCCCCACCTTTTCCCCACCTTTACACCCTCTTTTTATTCTTTATAACCAGCTGCAAGCCTTTGTAGAAGGGGTTAGAAAAATTGTCTTCAAGTCTTGCATCCAAATCTCCCTCTATCTCTCTCATTTTCTCAAAAACATCCAAGTTCTACACCTCATTTCTTCATAAACACCAAACACCATCACCACCATTCCATTTCCAGCATCAAGGAGGGTTTCTCAGAGGCAAAAGGTGCTGCAACTTGGTCCAAGAAGCAACCAAAGAGTGGTCTACATGGGTGAGTTTCCATTTCCCCCTTTTTGAGCTTATTTTTACAACATTTCTTAGCCATATATGCTTTTTGCTTTCAGCTCCGGCCATAACTGAAAGTGGCCTTTTTTTGAGCTCTTTTTCACTTTTTCTTAAGGGCTCAACCCTGTTTGAGCCCCCCATCTTGCACTTGCTTCAATGTCTTCCTTAAAT